GACTAGACCCATTACTCCTCTTTAGTTACATTGTCGGACTGCCCTTCAAAAAGACTAATATGCCTCCCACCAACAACGTGTTAGCTGCTTGAGTGCAGGTGATAGTGTCCCTTGCACCAAGCACGCATAAGTGCTTAGCATTAGTACTTAACATCTAGTAGGTGCCAAGTAAGTATTTTGTAAATGCAGCCATTATGCCACATTTTTACCAACTCAGGATGTTATCAGACTTACTAATCTTTATCAGCCTGGTACATGAAATTGTTTCTTTTTTTTTAAAGTGTAATTTTTTTTTAAATTAAAATCAAGCATCTTTTCATGTGATTATTGACATTTAGGTTTCTTCATGGCCTCAGCTTATTTTTGTATTGAGGTATTTTTACTGTTATTGACTCAGAAGTGGGAAGTTAAGTAAATAAAAGTTTTTCAGGATAGTAATCTAATGACGTATGTGTTGCAAATTTGTTTACCAAGTCTGAGGTTTCTCTCAAGTATATTAGGTCTTTTGCTATTTAGGAAACATTTATTTTTTGATAATCCCATCTGTCAGTCTCTTTTCACTTAAGATTTCTAAATGCTATAACATGCTCAGAAGGGCTTCTTCATCCCCAAATTACAAAAACTATTATTACCTTTCTTTTAATACTTCAATGGCTTTAATTTTTTTAAAGATTTTATTAATTTGAGAGAGAGCATGTGCACGTACATCAGCAGCGGGGAGGGTCAGAGGGAGAAGTAGAGGGAGAGAAGCAGGCTTCCCTGTGAACAGAGAGCTCTATGTAGGACTCCCTCCTAAGATTCTGAGATCATGACCTGAGCCCAAGGCAGATGCTTAACCGACTGAGCCACCCAGGCATTATGTCTTTAATTTTTATGTGTAAATACTTGATCTTTCGGGAATTGATTTTTGTACAAGATGAGAAATTGAAATCCAAGGTTTCTTTTACCTAAGTGGACAGTTTCTTATCTCAGAAACATTTCTTCTGGTGTGCCTTTTTTAATTATTATTATTGAAGTGCAGCTGATGTGCAGTATTTTATTTTTCAGATATACAACCAAGAACATTTTATTAAGTAATCCGCCCTTTCCCACATTGATTGGAAATGCTGCCTTTACCATATATAACATTTTTGTATGTACAAGAACTAATTTCTGGACTTTAATTTCTGTTTTGTCACTTTTTTTATTTGCTTCTTAGCAATATCACATTATTTCTGACACTTCAGCTGTGTAATAATTTTGAAATCTAGGTAGGCTAAAGTTACCCTCTTCCCTGTTACTCCTTTTTTTAAAAAATTTCTTGGCTGAGATAAACCATAAGTGACTCTTAATCTCACAAAACAAACTGAGGGTTGCTGGGGGGAGGGGGGTTGGGGTGCGGGTGGGGTTATGGACATTGGGGAGGGTATGTGCTATGGTGAGTGCTGTGAAGTGTGTAAACCTGGTGATTCACAGACCTGTACCCCTGGGTAAAAAAATATATGTTTATCAAAAAAAAAATTTCTTGGCTGTTCTCTGCCTTTACTCTTCCAGATGTACTTTAGAATCAATTTGTCAAATTTATTAAGTTCCCTCTAAATTCTTTTGGTATTAACTGGCATGGCAGATCTGGGTTTAATGATGTTTTTCATTTTGTTTTGACCTGAGTTTTATATTCTTAATTTTCCTCTAGTGTCAGGTTTAAAATCAGAGTCAATCTGTTCCCTAACCTTAATTTGTCTTTTTTGTGTTTCTTGTTCACTGCTTTTTGCTGGTTTTTTATTTTTGCTTTAACAGTTTATCAGAAGTGATCTCATCTTAAACATTCAGCATCACTAAAGTCATTTTTTAAAATCATCTGAGAAGACAAATACCACATGGTTTAACTTACATGTGGAATGTTAAAAACTAAATGAACAAAGAAAAGCAGAAACAGATTCATAAGTACAGAGAACAAACCAGTGGTTTCCAGAAGGGAGGGGGTCTGGGGATAGATGAAATAGGTGAAAGGTACTAAGAAGTATAAACTTCTAGTTATAAAATAAGTCACAGGGTTGCAGCATACAGCGTGGAGAATATTAAGTCAATAATACTGTAATAATGTTGTGTGGTGACAGATAGTAACTGCACTTACCATGATAAGCATTTTGTAATATATGTAACTATCAAATCCCTATGCTGTACTCCTGAAACTAATATAATACTATATGTCAGCTGTACTTCAATTAAAAAAAAAAAAAAATCTGAGAGCCAGACTTTTGCAGGGCTGTGTTTTTCCTCACATATCTGTCCTGCCTGGGGCTGAGTTGATGGCACATGTCTATCAATTACATAGCTGTTCTCCTTCACCCTAGAATCATAGATAATTATTCTCCAGTTAGGGTGAATTCTTAAATAGGTGAATAACCATATTTGGGAAGTTTGATAATAACTTTTATCTTTAGCACTTGGTAAGATATGTGTGTTATATAAAAACAAAAATCAGCTTCATGGTTACAGAGGAAGGAAACTTTATTTGATATCCTGGTTGTTCAAAATAATAAAAGACCTAGCATTTAAATTTATTTCAGACTCAATATAGGTTATGGTACCAGTTAAAATGTAACAAAAAAATACAGTTTACACCACATTACAGGAAATACGGCATCCAGATTAGAAAAGGTAATAGCTCCAATCTTTGCTAATCAGTTTTATATTTCTGTGTGCCTATTCTGTGCCAGGAACTAAACCAGGTGCTAGGATACAAAGCTGAGAGACATAGCCCACTTAAAACTATGTAAATGATAGCTAGAACAAGCAAATGATCATAGGTTTTATGAAAAAGTCAGAAGAAGGTCATCTAGGAACTAGACCACAGAGGCTGGGAACAGCTTGTAAGGGGAGGTGGCACCACACAGAGCAGAGGCTTGGGAGGTGGGGCTGTGGCCCTCTCTATCTCTGGCATGTTGTACACATTCTTTAACTTCATTCTGTCTCAGTTTCTAAATGTGTAAAATGGAGACAGTAATAATACATTTTATTCTATTCTCCTAAGCACTAGCAAGATGATGTATATATGGGAAGCCTCTAGAACAGACTCTGGCACACAGTAATGACTTAGAAAATGGTATGGAATGCCATTTTAAATGCTAGGCAGTAGAAGTAGCCCCAGGAGAGAGAGACTTCCAACAGAAGGAAAGGTGTGTGCCAAAACTGGAGTGGTTGAGCTGGGGCCTTTCTGGAATTGCAAAGTATTTAACCTGATTGGAGTGGAGGGAGTAGCTGAAGATGAAGCTGGGAAGGGAGGCAGAGGTGAGATCTATAGATAGAAGCTGTTGTGCCATGTTGAGGAATCTGAGGGAGGCATTGAAAGTGTTGTGGAATCTTTGAAGGCCTAAAGAAGGGGAGTGTCCAGAACAGTTTTCCCTAGTTGAAAGACTGGTTTGTTACAGATTTGTGGAGGGGCTAGCAAAACTGTTTGAAGTAGCATTTCCAGTTAGAGTGGTAGTGCTCAGCCATGGCTGCACGTTGGAACCTTCTGGAGAATTTTCAGCGGTCTCATGCCCAGGTTTGCTCCCGACCAGTTTTATCAGCAGCTCTGGGGTGGGACTGAGGCATTGGTATTTTTTATTGAGTCCCAGATAATTCCATTGCACAGCCACAATAGTGCATCACTGAGTTAGACGGTAAGTGTGTTTGAATCAGATTTGATAACCTTTCAAATTAAACCAAGTGCTAGCAACATAAAGGAGCCAGAGTAAGGAGATAAATAGGATACGGTGGTCATTTGAACAAGGAGGGGGTTATTTCTGGACTGGGTCACTGGGATGGTAATGATCATCTATCAAGACTCAAGTCATATACCAAGAACATGAAGGAGAAAGAGATTTGGCTATTAGACCTTGTTGAGTGTGGGTATTGAGGGAAAATGATACAGGGCAAATGGGCAGAAAGAAACTGAAGGGGAGGAGCTGATGGTGCAGTTGAAAACCCGGGAGACAGTAGATAATTGATAAGTGAGACCCCTGAGAAGATAGGATGTGTAGAGACATGAAAGAAATCATTTATATGAGAATTTCCACTCAGAGAGAAAAAAGTAAAAATAGGTGAGGGTGCAGACAGGTTCACAGGTCAGGAAAGAGAAGCTACAGTATAGCCTGATGGCCTGATTTCCTCACTGAAGGAAGTAGGAGTATTTGCTGAAAATCAGGTGAAAAGTGGGGATTAATGAGTCTGGGCAAGTGCTTGGAGATTCAAGGGGGCCATCTGAGAAGGAGGGGTCTTGTCCTGCTCTTAAATGCCGTCTTTCCCCCTAGAGTTTCAGTATTGAATCTCTTTCACATACTTTCTGGGTAATCTTCTTTGTTACATTAGATTATTAAGAAAAACATTGATAAACTGAAGTTTGTCCAGAGTGGTTAAGTAGTTGACATAGTTCAGAAAGTTATCAGTTAACGTTTCATTTCTGGGGTAGCACTTAGCTACCTTAATTTCAAATTTAAAGTGTTGATATCACTTGAAAACACTGTGCACATCTCACTGTTTTCAGTATCACTAGGTAGCATCATATTTTTTTCTAAATACCAGCTCATTTGCAAGCACGTTAATTCTTAGTGTAAATACTTTCTATTATACTATAAATTCTAATAGATATTTTAGTTCCTATCTACTTCATACTTTTTTTGGTTCTATGATGTCTGATAAAGATCTAACGAGATTTCTCAACTCTGACATAAACTATGATTTGCAGTATGTATTCTCTAAATATATTTTCCTCTAAAAACCCACTAAAAGTTTAGTAATTAATTGTCAGGCAGAGTGAACCATTTATTTTACAGTTTTCCTATTTAGCAGAACTAATTGTATTCCCTACAAAAAAGCAATCATTAGAATGGCTTTTCCGTAAGGCTTCTTGTTTTAACTTAATTATTAAAATAATTATAAATTACTGAAACAAAACTGGGGTTAGGACCATGAATGTATAGATAGAAGGGGACCTTGATATTGCAGGACATTAACCTAATATTTTTATATCATTTCAGGTAACATTTCATTTGTTGCATTTCCAGTTTCCAGCACCAACTCACCAACAAAGATTTTACCAAAAACCTTAGGACCAATAAATGTGAATGTTGGACCCCAAATGGTAAGAAAACCATCAAATCTTAGAATTTGACATGTTGCTCAGGCAAGACTAATTTAAAAGATAATTGTACTAAAGATGCTGAACAAAAATTCCAGTTCACTTCTTAACTTATGCACTTTTTTAAGAAGTTTTGTTTTCATCAGAATGTATCTGATTAAGTCTTGAGAAAAAGAAAGGCGGTTGTGCTCTTCATTATTTAATTTTCATGTAATGGAGTCTGGATTCTGGATATGTAATATCAAGGTTTTTGCTTGCTCCCTATGGTAGGCTTCTCTTGTTTTTAGTTTGATTAAATTGATTAGAAATCTGTTGTGTTTTATGTTCTCCTCTTTTTTTCCTTATAAAATAACCTTTACTGCCCTAAGCTGTGTATTCTTATATAAATTGAATATGACCCAGCAGTTAATCTATATATCCAGAGCTATCAATCTTTAGCAGTAGAAATAATGAATGAAAAGTGGAAAATATTTAACTGTTTCTCTGGAGGCATTCCATTAATCATGCTAGAGCTTGAAGTATATAACACTTTCAGAAAAGCCTTACTTTTAAACAAAGTGACATGCAATTACCCTGAAAACTATACTTAATTTAAAGTATATATAAATAATATATATATTATATATAAAAAGTTCTCAGCCACCTTTAGCAAGAGTTTGTAAATGCTTGAACAGTAACTCTTCATTGTTAGTGCTCATGTGGTCTCATCTATAGAGCAGGAAGGATAAATTTTGCCCATGATACTCAGTACTGTGGACTCTGTTAAATGCAGAATTATTTAAGCAAAAAATGTATCTTAACATATTTAGTGGCTTCAACAAATCTTCACGCATTTAAGACATTCAACACATGACATTTTTCTTGATCACTTGAGGACTGTTAATTACCTACAGAATTCAAACTGAAGATCTCTCACAATTTACTGTAACTATGTGAAGAATGTAGTCTAGCTCCAGACCTCATGGGGACTTAAGTTCAGATAAGTGTCCCCATTTCAAGGTAGTTCAGGGTATATTTCAAACATTTACTAAGCTTTTGCTTCTCACCAGCCACTGAAAAGTAGGTGTAAATGAGATAAGGCACCTGACTTTAAAGTCTGTATTTTGAAATGTGATTATATAAACACCAAAATTAAATAAACATCCCTGAACTCTTAGAGTTTCTCCCTCACAGTCCTCTGTTTCGAGAGACTATTTCCTGTCAGTATTTTAGGGATACTGCTGTGGCTCAAATTCTTTTGGAAACAGTTTTTCTTTCTGTTGTCAATTTGAGCTACCGTGCATGCAGTTACTGTTCTACCTCAGTTCTGACAATGATAAAGTAGTCTTGTGCACTACTTACCTCATCACTACAAACCTCAGAAACAGCAAAAGAAAGGTCAGAAGAAGGAAGGGAGATTTGGGGTTCCTCTTTAAACCAGACCTTAATTTGTGTCTTAATACTGAGGTGCTTTTTCCAGTTCTCAGTTCTTAGAAATAAGAGCTTTCTTTTTGACTTCCTAATTATTGTAGAATCCCAGTTAGAGCCATTTCTCTCTTCTTTTGTTTATTTCTTTTGAATAGTGTCCCCTCACCTTCACTCTCTCATCCGTGATTTAAAAGCATTTTTTTTTAAGTTGGAAAACCCTTGAATAAAACCTTTTTCTTTTTTAAAACCTGCTTCTCTCTGTTGTCTTTGTCTATTTGCCCTATAAATTTCACATCTCTAGCCAAGTCTTAATGGTAGATAGACATTTCAAATAGTCTTAAGAAAAAGGTTGTTTTCTGTGTTTATAGTAACTAGTTTAATGTAACTGTTTTAGTTTGGAATACTTGCTCTATACTTGAAGGTAGCTTGTCATATAATCTCATAACCATCTTTATTAAGAATGGTTAAAAAGTACATGTTTCTTATAGTAAAACTAAAATGTTGTGACATAATAAACTCCTTTAATGTAATACTTTATAATTACATAGATTCTTTTTCCCTTTAGAATACATAAGCTCTTGGGGCGCCTGGGTGGCTCAGTGGGTTAAAGCCTCTGCCTTCAGCTCAGGTCATGATCCCAGAGTCCTGGGATTGAGCCTGGCATCGGGCTCTCTGCTCGGAGGGAGCCTGCTTCCCTTTCTCTCTCTGCCTGCCTCTCTGCCTGCTTGTGATCTCTATCAAATAAATAAATAAAATCTTTAAAAAAAAAAAAAAAGAATACAGAAGCTCTCTTGGCTTTGCTTGCTTGCTTGCTTTCTAAGTGAAGTATCATTGACACCGAAGGTTACATCAGTTTCAGGTATATAGCAGAGTGATTGGACAGCTCTGTACGTCATGCTGTTCACCACCAGTGTAGCTACCATACAAGGCTGTAACAATTTCTTGGCTATTCTTACTGTAGATGGCAGTAGTATGTAAGATACATTGATTGAAGGCAGAAAACCTTCAGAATGAGGTTCAATTACTCTATGATTTTCATAGCCCAGCTGTAATCCGTTGTCAAAAAACTGCATGATTACATTTAAATTAACGATTTCTTTGGAGGTGGGGGAGGGTAAGTGCTGGAATTTAAAATAAATGTTCACTTTCCTTATCAGATAAACTGAATATAGTAATTACCTCTAATTTACCTCTAATTTCAATTTGGAATTTCAAAATTAAGGTTCAGTTTTATAAAACACATCTGACTCATCACCTATATAATTTTCCTGTATTCAGTGGTTGATCAAGTTCTGTTGGCTTTTCTTTGATTTTATTTAAGGTTCACTGTCATTGTCCTAATTGGGAACTCATTGCATCTCTTCTATGAGATGAACTATCTCTTCTATGCATGAACTTCTAACTTGTCTTTGTAGTTGAAGTATATCATCCCTCCAGTTTGTTCATTCAGGAAATGTTTATTGAGGATTTCTGCTATTGAGGGCATAGCAGGCACTAGGCTAAGGGAAAAGAACAGAATATTGCTAATCACCGTCAGCTCAGCAAAGAATGTCAGGGGACATTCTGACATTGAGGAAGAAAAAATAAACCAGAACATAGCAGTTCATTTCCAAAGCCTTTCTCAGTAATAATAACCAGTTTTTTCCTATGTCCTATTTCCCTTCCTCTCTTCATCTTTTTTTTCTACAAAGCCCTTTAAATCAGGTAAACTGAGCCTGTAGGCTACTAATAACAGATACAGAAAAAGAACTTAGTAATAATACTGCACAAATAATGCAGTCTGTCTCAAGGGTAAGTTTGGATGATTAGAATTGCTTTGTGGAGACTCCTGTTCTAGAAATAGAGTAGACCAGAGACTGATCAAATACTCAGATTTTCCTTCTTAAGCTTCACCCTCAAGGTCAGCATGTTATAGGACGTACAAACATGTGATGTAATGATTGGTAAGAACTATGTCCTTTATTATTTTTTTTTAAGATTTTATTTATTTATTTGACATGGATCACAAGTAGGCAGAGAGGCAGGCAGAGAAAGAGGAAGCAGGCTCCCTGCTAGCAGAGAGCCGGATATGGGGCTCGATCCCAGGACCCTGGGATCATGACCTGAGCCAAGGCAGAGGCTTTAACCTACTGAGCCACCCAGGCGCCCCAGAACTATGTCCTTTATATTGCATTTTCTTACTGGATTTTATGTAGTCCTTCTGGCATATTAATGAACAGAGAAGCTACTCATTTTAAGAGCTGGGTCTTCTGTCTCAGTTCATCAAATATTTCTTGTGCCTTTCCTGTGAATATCTCCTAGCTCTGTGCTAGGCTCTGCAAACATTTGATCTACCCTTAAAGATTTTCACTGAAATGGAGGTGCAGAGGTAGGGTGGGTGTGTAGAAGGGTAGGAGATACAAACCTATTATCTAGCATTCATATTTCCTCATGAGGTAAGCTTCTAAATTCCTCATTTAAGGGCGCCTGGGTGGCTCAGTGGGTTAAGCCGCTGCCTTCGGCTCGGGTCGTGATCTCGGGGTCCTGGGATCGAGTCCCGCGTCGGGCTCTCTGCTCAGCAGGGAGCCTGCTTCCCTTCCTCTCTCTCTGCCTGCCTCTCTGCCTACTTGTGATCTCTGTCTGTCAAATAAACAAATAAAATCTTTAAAAAATAAATAAATAAATAAATAAAAATTAAAAATAAATTCCTCATTTAATATTCCCTGGAATATTGTGGAGAATCAGAATTTTCCAGATATCTATCAGTGTTTATTGTCTTTTTTTTTTTTAACTATAGAATTAACTTACTAAAATTATTTCCTAGGCATTTGTATATAGTAATATCTCCCTAGCTCCAAATTGGCAAAATGCCATACACAAACGGAGGTAACTAATGTTCTTAAGTATTTGGTAAATGAATAAATGTTGATGCAACTTTGATAATGAAGGCCAGACTAAGTTTGAAATGCAAATGAATCCTTCCCATTGTTCCTTATGGAGCAAATTAACAACGAACTTAATGACTGGAATTAGACCTGCCTGCAGAAACAGGTTTCATTTGATCAGGGCTACAAAAATTAGTATTTTGACCTACATCAGACAGTAGAAATAGAACTACTTCTTTGAAGATCTGTCATTTAAAAATTGTGTGTAGCTCACATAGATGCTTTTCTCTCTTAATTGGTACTTAAACAAAACTTTGCTGTTATGGAAATTTTCAAAAGTATACGAAAATGGAATCTCTTCCCTTGAGGAGATCTGAAGCTCTGCGGTTGCCCAGTTGAGGGCAGTCCTGTGCCTCAGGGTTGGAAAGAAAAAAAGAGAGAGAGAATCCCTGTGTGCCCAGCAGCTCATTCTTCAACAGTTACCAACGTGGGGCCCATGCTGTTGCATTAATCCCCCTACTCACTGGAGCCTGCCCTTATTTTTATGGCAAAAGTACTTATAAAGATATTAGTAGAATGCTAAATTGTCTTTTGTACTAATTATTATAAACATTTTTGGAAAAAACATGGTCTATTTATTAGTGAAGTCCTGGACAGCAATTTGGTAGCACCTATCAAGAAGCTTTTTGAAAAGTCTATATCCTTAGTTCCATTACCTTTCTAGAGTCTGTCCTTAGGAAATAGATACTAAGGCCAAAATCGTTGTCCAAAAATGTCCATCACAGCATTGCTTATAATAATGGATAATTGAATATCCATATATAGCTAACGGAGGGGATAACAAATCCACATGATAAAATGTTTCACTATCTTCAAAATTTCTGTGAAGAATATTTACTGACATGAGGAAATGCTCTTGAAAAAAGAAGATAAAATTGCATTTGTTACAATAATCCAAATTGTATGATGCCTTTGTGTATATTTTGGACATGAAGATCTGATTTACTCTTGCCCTAGTTTGGGTACCTCAAGTTCAACTGCAGTTAGGTTCTGTAATTTCAAAGACAGCTTTCTGGGTTTTTTTAATTTTTAAAACATTGTTAGTTGCCACCTTAATCCTTCCAAATTGCTGTTCATTTGCTGAAACCTGTATTGTGACCTCATGGCAGTATTCAATTACTAATGCTTTAAGATCATAGAATATAAGTGAGTGAAAGCTTATGTTTTAGATGATTGCTATTAAGTGCGTTTTTGGCAGTGAGTTTTCCTCCTTATATGTAGCTTAGCAGTCAACATGATTTTCAGCCTATATGCATTTCTTAATAACTAAGAATGTTATTTTCTGTGTCCTAACTTTATAGATTATAAGCACACCACAGAGACTAACCAGTTCAGGAAGTGTTCTGATTGGGAGTCCATATACCCCTGCACCAGCAATGGTTACTCAGACACACATAGCAGAAGCTACCGGCTGGGTCCCAGGGTAAGAGTGTTGTTGCAAGTTACCTTTTTTAAAACTTTTTCTGAAGCTATGATCTTTTTCTCTCACTGAGTTGTCTTCCATTCTTGTTTTATGTTAGCCTAGTCCTTAGAAACTAATGTGTTGCCTTTAAAACTACCTATTTTAATTTCACTTTATGTCTTAGATAAATATCATTTATGGAGCAACCATTTTTAGGTAGAGAAAAACAATACAGTAATTTGTACCAGAATCTTCTGATCTTTCAGCTCTGAAAAAGGACTACTTTTTTTGTGATTATGACATTTAACTGCTTTGGAGATGCAAATTCTATATTTTATATTGTTTTAACAAACTTAAGAAAAGAATTGCATATTGAATGTTGGCTCAGAATTTCCCCCTGTGAATTTTTGTTTCCTTAAACATCAGAAAAGGAACTAGGAAAAAGAGGCCAAAAATATTAAAAAATTTACTGAGTTTTTCTCTTGATCCTTTTCAAACACTGGACAATTAAATCAGTATCCCTTGTGCTCCTCATTTACCACTTTTAGTATCAAACTTTCAGATGTTTCATTTCTGCCTGTAAAATACCCTTAACCCAGCCTTTCTCTGCTCCTTATCATTTGAGCCTTTCATCTTTCCATAAGAGAAAACGCATAAGATAAAGGATTCAAACCTTATTTGTTTACTTGAGAAGTCATTTTCGTGGTGGCATACTATACTGGTGGTTGTGTCTTTGACTTATGATTCTGAGTTCTAGCAAGCAGACAGTAAATCTTGGTTGTGTAAGAGCTTTCTTATTTCCAAGATGTTAAATGAATTGATGAAATAATCCTGGCAAAGCGTTTCAAGCCATATACATGTTCATGTGTATACATACATGCACATGCACACACACATTAGAGACAGAAGAGTTTCATATGTATACATATTTTTTCACTATCAAAGGAGATGAAATGACGCAGTCACCTGTAATTCCATGGCCTTTATTCAGTCCTTATCCCACATAGGATCTGAAAGTTACCTTGGATTTCTGCATAGCCTTGAGAGTTTATAACATGAAAGCCAAACCCATGCCAGGTGTATTGGCCCACTTTGGAGATGACCGGGTTTGGATATTTTCAGCCCCAGCAGTGCTTTATATTGGGGGTGGAATGATTGCTCCGTCATTCCATAGTGACTAATACTCTTCTGTGCCTTTTCTAAGTCTGCAATATTTTTCTCCCATTTTCATTGAGCTCATTTCAGACTGTGTTGTTATATTGTGATCTTTTTGGTCCTGTGGTAAAATTTATTATGTTGTGATTTCTTGGTCCTATGATAAAACGTATCTTTTCTATTTGTTAGATTTTGTGTTTGGATGTATTTGCTGTGGAATTAGACAGGTTACAATAAATTATTCGTGAAATAAAATTGTGTTTAAATATCTGTTCTTTTTATGCTATCTTTTTTTTTTTTCTTTTTAGTGATAGAAAACGAGCTAGAGAATTTATAGATTCTGATTTTTCAGAAAGGTGAGTATAAGTGTTAAGTATTTTGTTTGGGAGATGCTACTGTGTAGAGAGGAGTTTTCTGTCCAGATTGTTGTAGTTTAATTAGAGCTATTTTTCTTTGCATAACTTTAACTTCATTTAGTTTCTGCCTTTATTTCATGTCTTACTGAGTGTTCTACTTCACTTATCATTACATATATTCATTATATTTAATGGTTCCAAAATTGGCTGTTGGTAGTCTGTCCTTTAGCTCTCCCTCTCCTCTTGGAAGATGAATATACCACATTACCTCAGCATGCCCAAACTTTTTAAAAACAAGTTTTATTGAACACATTTAAAGATTATAAGTTCTTGGGACGCCTGGGTGGCTCAGTTGGTTAAGCAGCTGCCTTTGGCTCAGGTCATGATCCCAGCATCCTGGGATCGAGTCCCGCATCGGGCTCCTTGCTCGGCAGGGAGCCTGCTTCTCCCTCTGCCTCTGCCTGCCATTCTGTCTGCCTGTGCTTGCTCTCTCTCTCTCTCTCTCTCTCTGACAAATAAATAAAATCTTAAAAAAAAAAAAGATTTTAAGTTCTCACTTATTTCTTAACTATTATATTGAATACAGTATAATCTTTCCTTAGACTATTAAGACAGTCTTCTCAGTGTGCGTCAGAATCCGCTTTGGAGTGTTGAATGCAGTATGAATGTCTACCAAGTCAGAAGCTCCAGGGTTAAAAACGTAGGGTCGTTATTTGAACTTAAATTTCAGTGTGCCATGGAAGCCACTAGATGAGGTACCGTATTAATGTTGCACTATGTTCTTTAAAGATTTATTTATTTGAGAGAGAGCAAGCACATGTGCACACATTGGGGGGACAGACAGAAGAGAAACAGACTTTCCACTGAGAGCGAGCCCATTACAGGGGTTACACGACCCCAAGATCATGACCTGAGCTGAAATCAAGAGTCAGACATTTAACTGAGCCACCCAGGAGTTCCAAAGTTGTAATTATAAAACCTTGCCAGCTGCGCTTTTTTAATTTTATTTTTGATTCTAAGATTTTTTTAACCCCTTCTTCCAGTGGTATTTTAATCTCCTTTTTTTTTGTTAGGTCATCTGCTCTCAGTATAATAGATAGTTTTCTGTCTTTTCTGTTTTCTAGTTTGCTACCTCTAATTTTCACTGAGAAACTAGATGGCTAAATGTATTAGAATTCAGCCTGAAATAAAATCAAAAGGACTATGAGTGAGGACCTTGAGGCTATATAATAAAAAATGTGTGTTTTCTTGCATATGCACCAGCTGAACTTTAGTTCCTTTGTGGCATCTGTTGCTTGCTTCTTGGTTTGTAACTGTTTAGAACAGATAAAATCATGTCTGAGGAAATGCTGTATCACAATAGAGATATAGAGCAAAGTGTTCTTTCTCTTTAATGGAAACTACTCTTTCCAAATCCTGCTGGTCTTTTTTTGCATTTATCTTCAGAAAGGGCAGAAATACAAGTTTGTGCAGATGTATTTAGCAATATTTAAGGCCTTAAAATGGCACTATTCATTAGTTATGATTGGTGGCACTTATGTACTGCAAACAGTATAAAAAACAAGATTCTTTTTACACTCGCTTCATAAGAGAGACCTCTAAAGATTCACATACAGAAGTGCCAGATTAAATTGGTTGGCATAAACGTTGATTTGGCTTTCCTAGTGATTTTTATTCTTTTTATTTTTTTAATATAACTTTACTATAGTGAATCCTAGCCCCCAACTCCCGCAATCAGGTCTACTACATCTGATTTTCTTTTGGTTGTTGTTGTTTTTACAAGTTGTTTATTTTCCTCCAAATGCATTTTTCTATAATGCTATGAAACGTCCTTGTTTCCCTTCTTCCAGTTGTTTTTGTTTGTTTGTTTCCATTCTCCCTTCTCTCAAACATAGACGGATCTTTAGCTCTTTAGTGTCCTATATGTTGATTTAGGAAGTATTTGTATTCATTTTCTTCAGGGATTTATACATCAATATGTTGATGTATTCATAACTGATATAAATTATAACTGACATACATCAATATATATGAGGCTTTTTATCCTCATCTTACTACTTGAAGTACAACTTTAAGTATGTCTTACATAGCTGTTCCTTTGTCAAGATCATTTGTGAGAGCAAGTCATTTTCTGAAGAAATTTTGTTTGGTGGGTGAAGGATCCATTGAGGGATTCTCATGAATTTTATCCCCTGTATTCTGATCCGCTGGACTTCTTTTCAAAGAGCTTGTAGAAGAAGGTATGAAAATCCTCCTTTTGGTCTGGTCTGGGGTTTTAATCCTGAAAGATGTTTGTTCACTTTCTCTTTCCTCCTTTGGACAGAATCTGGTGGTGTCTTCTACATGCATCTCTTCCAGATACATGTGATTTTCCTTTTGGGACCTCTGCTGTGGGAAGAAGGTCCGGGGTGCCCCAGAGGAAGTGATGGCAGTCTGTGGGTGTTTTTCTCTGTTCCTGTCTTACATGAATAAGATGGAGCACAGTGGTGGCGTATTCTTCCTTTGTGCTCATGTAATCTTAATATCTTTCTGTTGGTGGAAAGTTAAAACTCGACTTATTTATAATAAACTGATAATTTGTAATTAACTAATATAATTTAAACTATAATAAGCTAATAAGGAAACTCAGTATAGTTAATACCTGTATTGCTTCAGTGATGTTTAGGAAATTGTCATTCAGCAAACATCTGAATATCTCTTAACTGTTATGTTCTAAGTATTGAAGAGAATTATAAACAAGATAGGTAAGTCTGCCCTTAAGAGAGCTTCTCTTGTGTGTGTGGGAGTAATATATAAGATTATTTTTAGATTATAATAGATGGATACAAAAAAATAAGAAAGGTGATGGCAACTACATTGGAGAAGGCCTCCTAAGAAAGTGATATTTAAGAGCAAAGAAGCAGTCATGTAAATAGCTTAGTGACATGGATGAGCCAGGGATTCTGGGCAGAGGGAACAGCAAATGTAAATAAAGCTCCCAAATGAGGAACTAGATTGATGTATTTGGGAAAAGTGAGAAAGGCAAAGAGTAAGATAAGGGTGGAGAGGTAGGCAGGAGTCAGATCATGATGAAAGGCCTTGTATAGGTCCTGGTAGGGAGATGGGTTCTTTCCTAAGGAGAATTTTTTTATTTTTAAAAGATTTTATTTATTTATTTGTTAGAGAGAGAGAGAGAGAGGGAAAGAGAGTAGCAGAGGGAGAGGGAAAAGCAGACTCCCTGCTGATCAGGGAGCCTGATTGGGGGCTTGATCCCAGGACCCCAGAATCATGACCTGAGCTGAAGGCAGACACGCAATCAACCGAGCCACGTAGGCACCCTCTAAGGGAGATTTTAAGCAGAGAAATGGCATCACCTAACTCACACTGACTGCTGAGGGATAAATGGATTCTAAGGAGACAAGAACAGAAGCAGGATAATCAGAAGATTATTGCAGGGGACAGGGGGCCCTGCAGTGGAAATGGGAAAAAAATGGATAAACCATGGCAGTAGAACCAACAAGATTTATTGATAGATTGAAAGAAGGAAGAGGAGAAATAAAGGATGGCTCTTGGTTTTTTGTATGAACAGCTGGGTGACTGATTATGCTTTACATTTACTGTAGTTCAGAGTGCATTTGGGAAGGAATTTTGTTTTGATATGAAGTTTATTAGTTATCTAAGTGATGTTATCACTAGTATATAAGTAGTATCATCAGCATGTAAATGGTCACAAGCCTGAATGTGGAGGGAGGGAGAGAGTGAAGATCCATAAGGAATAAACATTTATTTCCCATTTCAGTCCTGGATTGATGCAACATTGATGGATATATACTTCAGGAAAGTAGAGTTTTTTCCTAAACTATTTTACTGAATTACCAAATTAAATTATTTTGCTGATTTAACTGTTTCTAGTTGGCTCATTTAAATGGGAAATAAGGTTTTTATTATATATAATTCCTTATCTGAATAGATTTTTTTTAATAACTTCTACTTGGGATATGCATTTTTATACTACAAATTATTTTTGTAAGTAAAAATAAGTTTATATTGGGAAAATATATAAAGACAGTGGCTATAGGTTCTAGTTTAGTGCATGGAAATTCTTTGGGTACAATTCTTTTGAATACTTCAAATGAAATTATTAATAAAAGTTAACATGTATTTCAAACTATACCAATTAGGGGGCGCCTGGGTGGCTCAGTGGGTTAAAGCCTCTGCCTTCGGCTCGGGTCATGATCCCAGGGTCCTGGGATCTAGCCCCACATCGGGCTCTCTGCTCTGCAGGGAGCCTGCTTCCTCCTCTCTCTCTCTGCCTACCTCTCTGCCTACTTGTGATCTCTGTCTGTCAAATAAATAAATAAAATCTTTAAAAAAAAAAAACTATACCAATTAGGTTTTTTTCTAAATTTTTAAAAATTTCTCAATTTGGCTTTATTTGGTAAAGAATACTTCCTACTTCATTTATGGACTAATAAAGATCATAGCATTTATACCCCACGGCCATATTTTGGTGTTATTTGGAAAGAGGGTCTTGATGTTTCAAAGAGCTTGATTCTAAGAAAAGATTTAAGATTTAGATAGTAAGCTTCCAGTTTAAGGTGATAGACTGAATACTATGTTTACACCCCCAAACCCTAAAATCCTATTGGAATTTTCATGTAAAAAATAGTAAAAGGAAATAAATTTCTCAAAGTGCTATAAAAAGTGGTAGAGATATAGATTTTCCAAGTACAAGATGAAAGCCTACGTGACTATAATGAAGAACAAGTGGTAGTAGAGAAATCTACATCCCAAAATATGCATAGGAAAAGTCAGAATTGGAAATGGAAGCTATTCTCCCCTATTCTGACTGATAATGGAGAAGCTCTAGGCTTAGAGGTGACAAGTATAAAAAGCGAGAATGAATTAATGAGGGAAGTAGTGAGGGTAATGAAATGAAGACTATCTATGGAGCACCTGCGCCAACTGAAGCTTCCCAACCCACCAAATCCCCTTGTACCTCTCATTTCATTTCCACACAT